TAAGGGGTGGAGCTTGCAAACTAAAAGGAAGGGATGGCCAGTGAGAATTTGGAGATAAACTATTAGAGGGCTATCAAACTAATGTACACTTAACATTTTTCTTGTTCTTAGCTCATTTGAGCTACCAAGGTAGCACCTAGTGTGGTCAACACCAATCGTGTTTAGACAACTAAACTTATACTCAATCACATTAGTTAATTATATATTATTAAAAGTTAAGTTGAAGAGGCGGTTATTCGATAGTAACCAAAAATGCACAACATTTGGAAAATGTTGGTATAGTAAAGGAACGGCTTGTTGATGATTAGCTTTGATTAACATATTTTCAATATAGTATCTCGACCAACAAATATACAAAAATCATTCAATCTTTTTATTTGTAAAATATCTTAGTAAAAGTAATTTCAGAACTGGATATACTCATTTATAAACTTTACATTTCATTGAATATCAAAATCAAACTGAAAAAAACAATTTGGTAAAATTTAAGCAGGTTGAAATTCACAAAATGAAATTAAATCCTGAAAAACAAATACAAAATTTCCAATAAAAGGAAAAGAAAGTCATCTGGTTCAAGTCTCCATTTGCTGAATTCCATTGGACTCCCTCTCTCTCTCTCTCTCTCTCTCTCGCTCTGTGCTCTCTAAATTCATTTTTGTTTACTTAACCGAGGCACCATGAATGGCGGTTTCTCCAATTCGGCCGGTGGCTCCGGTGACGGCGCATCCAAATTGCTCGCTAATCTCCCCTCTCGCGGCCTCTTGTCTGCCAATGTCGTTTCATCTAACCTGGTATTTCTCACTCCCCTAAACCGTTGTTGTATATTTGTTTAATTCATTGAAATACGTAAATGATTTCTTTTTAAAGATGTTGATTCTGTTTTATGGTTGGAATTCGGAATTAAGATCATTTGAGAGGGGTTTGAAGGGTTTTGGATTTAGGAACCTGAAAAAGACAATGCGTTTTGATGCTATTGAGAAATGAATTTGCTAATCAAATGGAATTATTTGGAATTAAGTATTTTAGGCAAGAAAAGATTAGAATAATTAGGTCAGAATTTATTTGATGATGTTGAAGAATGGGAGTGACAAGTACAATGTGATTTGGAAGATAAGATTTGTATATTTGTGAAATGTTCTAGTTGTGCAAGCAGGGTTTAATTCACATGGTTTGATAACTTCCATTATGTTGTACAATTGAATGGTCATCAGATTTCTCCTGGAAAGTACACTAAGTTCCAAAAGGAATGTGTTTAAGTTCAGGATATGTCAAGATGCTTCCTTTGACACATCCATGTCTAGGAATGAATTACTATAACTAGTTCTGGTAGTTATTTTTAGTTTCACATTTGTCTGATTCTGTTCTTCAACATTTCTATCACGATACTACTTAAACTTATGAAAAAGAAAATGGAGTTTAATATAGAGGATTCTCACATAATGAAGAAAAAAATGTTGTTAAAACAGAAGTAATCAATATAATTAGGGCTTAATTAAATTCGATCATCAATCATGATTCTATTTGCTCAAAGCAAGCCACTTTTGTGGAATATGGATGCTCAATTATTATTTATTCTATGTTATCTTATGTGTGTCTCTATACATCAGTAGCAGCTATTGAATTTCTGTGGATGTAACTGATGATAAAAATCTATTTTTTAGAAATGCATTTATTCTTCAGTTTTTCGTATTTTTTCTAATTTATGTGTTGACAAATTTACGCAGGGTGGGATGCGTGTCTATATTTGCGATCATGACACGTCACCTCCAGGTTTGTATCTTCAATAAATCCAATAACTTTTAGTTTCTGCTAGTAAATGTTGCATTTATTTGATGGGCCAAAGTGTTTCTTGTTAGCTAGAGAAAAATAGCTAAGTATTCATGCAATCCCATTTGATTGAATGGCTGTTACCTGTATATGCTTATCACTTTCTGTTTGTATTAGAATATTGGGGCCGAAACTTTTTTTTTTTTTTTTCTTTTTTTTTCCCCCCCCCCCCCCAGTCAGATTATCTAAAATGTATAGGAAAAGTGATTCAATCCTGATGCCAGATGTTTACAAGAAGGTCTATTTTCTAATTACCTTCTAGCATATATATGCAGCCAACTTGGTCAAGCTTATGTTGGAAATAATTGGTTTAGAATTTCTTGTGTTATGGAGACAATGATCTGTTATTTATGAGTCTGACCTGTCTAAATCTCTATGGTAATGTATCTTTTGTTTATCAGAGGACCAGTTTATCAAGACAAACCAAACAAATATATTGATTAGGTCTCTTATGCTTAAGAATCAGAAGGGCGATTCTTTGAAGAAAGATCCGAAGGGTAGTACTTCGGATCAGGTTTCCAAAAAAAGGTATCATCTGATAGTGGGCTAGCAATGTTGAATAATTTTGCTCTTTTACAGTTTTACACTGCTCTTGTACAAATCTTTGGGGTCATGTTCCCTTCAATAACTTTACAGGGCTGCGGATAGAGCTTTGGAGAGCAAGGCTGCTGGTAAGAGGGCCATGTCCAGCACTCAGCTTGGTTCCAATCAAGGTGCGTGTTCATCTTATGCTTTTGTGTTGATCTTATACACGGAAAACCTGTCTGTTTTAGAACTTCGGTGGAACATTGAGATGTAGATTATTTTGCTATAATACTAGTGAGGAACGTAATTGAACAAGAACAGATTGAGAAAAGAAAAGAAGAGAGGATGAGAGAAAAAAAGAAAAAGAGGGAGAGAAAAGAGATAATTTAGAAGGAGAATCAATTTCTTTAATATCAGAGTTGTGTGTATTACAATGTGACGAGGACATCTCAGTTTCATTATTTTATTTAGACGACATTTAATTATTTTAGTTGGACTTTTATTTCTTAGTTGGATTTGGGTTATTTTATTTTATGGACTTGTGTAATGGGCTTGGCCCTATATTTCGGGTTTTTTTAGGTTTTCAGTATTTAAACTTATTTTTACATTGTAATTGGCAGTTAATGAATTGATTGAATAAATTTGGCTATAGCCTCCGTTCTTTCCCCTCTTCTTCTTCCCCTTGTCTCTGTGTTTCTCCCTCCCCTCATCCCTTCTTGTTATTCTTATTATTGAGTTATTCACCCTGCATCAAAGTGGTATCAGAGCCAAACCTGGCTTCCTTCACCCACTGCTAAAAATCCAATCGAGTTACTCTCTCGCTGCCAACAACCACAAGCCCTGCAACTTCCAAGCACAACCACCATTACATAGCACAAAACCACCCCCAAATTCCCCTAATCCACTGCAACACTCCACTGAAATCAACTCTCACCGTCAACCCCGCTGCTACAAAATACAGTCAACAACTCTGCCTTCTTCGACGCACTGAAACGTAACCACCGGCAAGACAGTAAACCAGAAATTGAACCAAACCATCACAGTACACCAGAAATTGAAACAAACCGCCGAAAATTACAGCAACCAGAAACGGAACCATCACCTATTCGAGCTTGACAGCCTACGAATTTGGACTTCTGAACACACAAATTCCACCTCCCAAGTCTCGTCAACTGCTAGTAAACCGACGACCCAAATAGTTGAGACTCTCCTTCGTTGGCCACCTCCTAAGACATCGACTCCCACAGCCCGACTAAGCAGTTGAGTCCAGCACCGCCAACAGTGAATCCAGAGTTGCCGTGCAGTGGATATATACTTTGCAATCGGGTTGGTTTATTAGTTATCACTTGGGTTTGGGCTTGATTGGAATCTGGTTGGCTTTATTAGTCATTACTTGGGCCTGGGCTTGATTGAAAATTTGAATTTGATTTAGGCCCAAGTTTGTGAAATGGGCTCATTTATTTTGTTTTGTTGTTCTGATTTTGTAAGTATTAAAAAAAAAAGAAGAAGAAGAAGAAGAAAAGAAAAGAATAGAGCAAAAAAAAAAAAAAAGATCGAGAATTTTTGAGAATTTTCTAACATTATTTTACAGGTTTATTTTAGTTGATTGATCAGTACCACACCTCGACGAACACGAAATTTTCTGTCTTAGCATTTCAAAGCTTAGTAGTTTAGAAAGTGGAAACATTCGACGCTAGGACGACTCAGACCAACTGAACTCAGGGAATTCCTGCTCCTATCTATTTTAGTTGACACTATTTCTTTATTTTAGAATTGCATAAGTTAATTCTTTGTGTGCTAGCCCTTTGACAATTTTTGCCTTAAATCTATTTGATTGAAATTCACGCTCAAAATCCCATTGCTTTCTCGTTTACCACACGTGACTAAGCCTATCATTTGTACCTTTGTTTTTTTATTTTATTTGCATTAGTATTATAAGCTTGTGATCGGACCATACGTAATCCCAATTTTTTTAAGTTAACAAATAAAATAAAATAATAATAGTAACAATAGAAAAATTTCAATCACTATTTCCCTTGTTGGCACTCGTTGGTTGTTGATTTCAGTAGACACTTCACCTAGTTTGTGTTACCGTGTATGCAATTGCGTAGTGGTCGCGTTACTGCCTCTAGCTCTAGTACCCTTACCATGGACCCCTCCCAAATTGAGGCCCTCACCCGACAGTTGGCGCAGTTACAAAATCAACTAACGGCTGTCCAAACTGAGGTAGCCGCTACTCGTGAGGAGAATAGAGCCCTAACCGTTAGGTTGAACACTCTTGACCCAACCCCATATTCGACCGAAGCTAAAACTCTGAGGCTTCCATTAATAGACCTCATCATCGTCCACAAGGTGGTCGACACCACGCCCGACATGATCGTAGGGAAGGAAATCAGGCTTGTGGGTGAGAGCAGGAATATTACCGTCATGGTACACTATCTCCCCCTCGCCACGAGGAGCGCCTCTTTCGAAACATTAAATTAGATGCTCCTACATTTGACGGTTGTCTAGATCCTAGTGTATTCAATCAATGGGTTAGAGATATGGATCGCTTCTTTGCCTGGTATGGGGTCCTGGAAGATCGGAGGGTACAATTTGCTAGTTTGAAGTTAACTGGCACTGCACAACTCTTTTGGGAAAGTGTCGAGGACCTCCTAGAGAGGCGTCATACTTCTCCTGTTGGGAGCTGGGATGAAATGAAGCGTCGTCTTCAAGAAAAATATTTACTTCAATCTTACAGGGGTAACTTGCTGGATCAATGGAACGCACTTACACAAGGGAGTCGGCTTGTGACCGAATATGTTGCTCAGTTTGATGAGTTTCGAATGAAATGTCAGGTCGTTGAGGATGAGGTCATGACTTTGAATAGGTTTAGGCAAGGCTTAAAGACGAACTTAGGCGTGAGCTTGTCCTTCGAGGCGTCACCACTCTTGACCACGCCTACTCTTTCGTTCGGGATTATGAACTAATAACTAGGACACCGTATAAAAATCGTAGTGACTCTCGCACTGCAACCTCTTCTGTATCCACTCCATCCCCTAAGTCTATTCTAGGACCTCCTTCTTCTAATACTACCCCTACATTGGATAGCAAAGGTAGAGGTTATGAGGTTTCAAGGACGTCCTCCCGTTTGCAATGCTTTAATTGTAAGGGTTTTGGTCACATTGCTTTTAAGTGTTCTAGTCGAGCCCTAGTTCTGGACGAGCATGAAGGTATAGTCGACGAGCCACTAGAGGACCAGGTTTATGAGCCTAAGTTAGAAGAGTTTGATGACTTGGAGGATAGTGAAGATACCTTCCTAGGTTGTATTCAGGCTAATCCCCTTATCCCATAGATGCCTAGAGTCGGTGTCGTCCGTTGCACTCTTACCCAGCCTAGGAATGCCGATGATTGGCGCCGTCATGCCATCTTCCACACTTACATCAAGATTAATAATAAGGGCTATAAAGTTATCGTGGATAGTGGCAGCTGCATTAATGCGGTTTTGATGGCTACTGTATCCTGTCTAAGGTTGAAGTATGTTCCTCACCCTCAGCCATACAGCGCCTCTTGGGTTGATACCTCCTCTATAGCTGTCAAGGAGCGTTGTTTAGTCCCTATCCAGTTTTTCGAGTATAAGGACCATATATGGTGTGACGTTATTTCAATGGATGTCGGGCACATCATCTTGGGACGACTTTGGTTATTTGACCTAGATGTAACCATCTATGGTCGATCCAATTCCTACTCCTTCGTGTTTAATGGAAAGAAGATTCATCTTAACCTATTGTCCCCAAAGCCTATTGCCCCACTGAAAACGAAGAAGAGTGTGGAACGAAAGGGATTGCACATCATTAGTCCTACGGAGTTTGAGCGTACACTTGTTGGTGACTCAGTTGTGTTCGCTTTGGTGGTCATGAAGGTTCCATCCCACTCCACAATAGAGAGACCTGTTGAAGTCCAGTCGATCCTCCAAGAGTTTCGAGACGTCTTTCCGGAGGACCTACCTGATCATCTACCTCCACTAAGGGATATTCAACATGCCATAGATTTCGTCCCAGGGGCATCCCTCCCAAATTTGCCTCATTATAGGATGAATCCTACCGAGCACGCTGAACTTCAAAGGCAAATGGATGACCTCCTTCACAAAAAATTCATTTGTGAGAGTTTAAGCCCGTGCTATCCCTGCCCTATTGACGCCCAAAAAGAATGGCTCTTAGAGGATGTGTGTGGATTGTTGCGCGATCAATAGGATCATGGTGAAGTATCGTTTTCCCATTCCTAGACTTGACGATATGTTAGATATGATGGTTGGTGCCACAATCTTTTCGAAGATTAATCTGAAAATTGGATACCATCAGATTCGAATTCGCCCAGGTGATGAGTGGAAGACCGCGTTTAAAACGAAAGATGGTATTTATGAATGACTGATCATGCCTTTTGGACTAAGTAATGCGCCAAGTACCTTTATGTGGGTAATGACACAACTCTCCGACCTTTCATGGGAAAGTTTCTTGTTGTCTATTTTGATGATATCCTCATCTATAGTAAGACTAAGGAGCAACACCTTGACCACCTCACACAAGTCTGCTCTACCCTTCGTGCAACTAATCTATATGCTAACGTCAAGAAGTGCTCTTTCTTTACCGATACAGTCGTTTTTTTAGGTTTCATTGTCTCTTCAACAGGAGTATCTGCTGATCCTGCTAAGGTTCAGGCGATTATTGACTAGCCTAAGCCTAATGCTATTCATGACGTCAGAAGCTTTCACGGCTTAGTTACATTTTACCGTCGCTTTATTAAGGGACTTAGCACTATTATGGTGCCTATCACGAAGTGCATGAAGAAAGGGGAGTTTTATTGGACACAAGAGACGGCTAAGACCTTTAAGTTAGTCAAGAAGCGAATGACGGAGGCTCCTGTTATGCGCCTTCCCGACTTTTCCAAAGTCTTTGAAGTTGAATGTGATGCCTCCGGGGTAGGTATAGGCGGAGTCTTGAGTCAGGATCGTCACTCTGTTGCCTATTTCAGTGAGAAGTTAAATGAAGCCAAACAACGGTACTCAACTTATGATAAGGAACTGTATGAGGTGGTCCAGGCTTTGCGCTATTGGCGCCACTATTTGTTGCCTCAAGAATTTGTCCTTTATTCGGATCACGAGGCCCTCCGTTACCTGAACTCCCAGAAAAGATTAAGTTCTAGACATGGTCGTTGGGTCGAATATTTGCAGGCCTATTCATTTGTTTTAAAACACAAGAAGGGCGTGGAAAATCAAGCAGTTGATGCATTAAGTCGTCGTGTCTCCCTTTTGTCGATCATAAGTGTCAAGGTCATCGGTTTTGAAAGACTTAAGGAGGATTACGAGGCATGTCCCGATTTTAAAGATATCTTTCTTGATTTACAAAGGGGACAATCAGGAGCCACAGATGGCTTCCGACTTGAAGAGGGTTATCTCTTTAGAGCCAATAAATTGTGCATCCCTCGAACTTCAGTGCAAGATTTCATCGTGTGGGAAATTCATGCGGGAGGGTTAGCCAGTCACTTTGGACGTGATAAGACCATAGAGGAAGTTGAACGTCAATTCTATTGGCCTAGCTTGAAGAAAGATGTGGCTAAGATTGTTAGTACTTGTAACACTTGTCAATTGAGTAAGCAGAAGAAGCAGAACACAGGTCTATACACCCCTTTTCCTGTCCCCAATTGTCCTTGGCAAGAAGTTAGTATGAATTTTGTATTAGGCCTTCCACGCACCCCAAAGAAACATGATTCTATTTTTGTGGTTGTCGACCGTTTTTCGAAAATGGCTCATTTTATCCCCTGTAGCAATACCTCATATGCGTCTAAAGTAGCTATGTTGTTCTTTAATGAGATTGTTAAATTGTATGAGCTTCCCAAGACCATTGTGTCCGATAGGGACGTTCGTTTCACTAGCCATTTTTGGAGGACTGTGTGGCAAAAGATGGGTACCAAATTGAAATTTTCCACGGCCTAATCGAAGTCTTGGCAACCTATTACGTTGTCTGGTCCAGGAAAACCTTCAAAATTGGGATTTGATCATTCCTATAGCTCAAATTGCGTATAATAGCTCCATAAATCGTTCACTAGGTATGAGTCCATTTGAAATCGTTCATGGGTACAAGCCTAGGAAACCGTTAGATCTCATCCCTATGTCGCCACAGGCTATAGTGTCAGTATCAGTCGAAGCATTTGCACAACATTTTCGTAACTTGCATATTGAAATCAATAAACAACTTGAAGCTAGTAATGCAAAATATAAACTCCAAGCTGATTTACATAAACGACATATTGAGTTTAACGTTGGGGATTACGTTATGGTTCGCATTAGGCCAGCGCGGCGTCTACATGGACCCGCCTCCAAATTGCAAGCTCGTAGTGCTGGTCCTTTTAAAATTTTAAAGCAGGTTGGTCCAAATGCATATATTGTTGACATTCCACCACACCTTGGTTACCACTCTACTTTCAATATTGAGGACCTTGTAGCTTATAAAGGCCATTTCATTCCCTCAGATGATCCTCTGTTACCTCCTTTTGTGGACCTTGATCCTAATTCTTTAGCCCCTTCTAACCCACTACCAGCTCTCATAGCACACAAAGAAAAAATTGATGCTATTTTAGATGAAAAAACTGATGATGGAGAGGTTCATCGCTTCCTTGTTTGTTGGGTTGGTCGACCAGATTCTGACTGTGCATGGATCTCCAGGGAGACACTGCAGCAATTGGATCCAGATTTATTGGAGTTTTATCGGAGTTATCAGGATCTTCCTTGGCCCAGATCGCCTCCCGTCCACCCGAGGGGAGTTGGTGAGGATACTTAGTTCAGACCGCCACTAATGCATTTTTACAGACACCGAAAGAAGCTTGCCCAACCACTCAGCTTATGGTTGGGAGATTGACGGAAGCCTATAGTGATATAGCCACTTGACAGGGTCGAGTTTTCTCTTCTACCTCGGGAGAATTGATAAGGACATTCTAGTTTCATTATTTTAGTTGGACGACATTTAATTATTTTAGTTGGACTTGGGTTATTTTATTTTATGGACTTGTGTAATGGGTTTGGCCCTATCTTTCGGGTTTTTTTAGGTTTTCAGTATTTAAACCTATTTTTACATTGTAATTGGCAGTTAATGAATTGATTGAATAAACTTGGTTATAGCCCCCATTCTTTCCCCTCTTCTTCTTCCCCCTATCTCTGTGTTTCTCCCTCCCCTCATCCCTTCTTGTTATTCTTATTGTTGAGTTATTCACCCTGCATCACAATGAATAGACACTCTTTATATAGAGTTTATGCAAACCTAATTTGAGAAGGAAAAAAAATTAAATATACTCTAATTTAGTCAAACTAGAAAATCTATCAAACAATAACCTAATTCTAGTCAAACTATAATAAACTACTAGAAATTAACTCTTTATTTCCCATCATTTCTTCTCGGCTAAGAGAACTCGGCTTTAGCGAGGTAGATTGTTACTTCATTCTCCAACGAAGTTAGTCTTTTGTCCTGATCAAGCATTGAGGTACTAAACTCCTGATAACAATATATGACTAAATTCATACGAAGTGGGCAATCTTTTTTATGAACTAAATATTGATACGAAACGTCAAAAAATAGTGTATGATGCAATTCATCCACAATAAATCAATTGGATACGCATAAAAGGAGCATAAGAGGCTAGCACACGAGACTGGCTTCCTGAAACAAATGATTGTAACATCGGAGGTACGAATGTGCCTCGATAAGGATACAATTCCACTATATTGAAAACGTAACTTTCATTCAAGTGTGACAACTTGAATTATTTTCTTATTGGGGCATGTTTAAGTTATATTAGTTGCAATCATTTGTTTCTGTAGGCCAATTTGCTATGCTAATCCCTCGTGCACCTCATCATGTGCGGTTAATTTATGTTTTTTAGATGGATTGCACTTTCTGCTACATTCCAAAGTTTGCTCTCGATATTTGATTGATAAGAAAGATCGTCTCCCTTGGTATGAATTCAGTTATATATTGCTATCAGGAGTTCAATATGATACTTAGTCAGGTCAAAAGATCGGTCTCCTTCTAGAATGAAGTTACAGTTTATTTTGTCAGAGTCGAGTTCTTTCAATCAAGGAGAAATGAAGTTGGGATTTTAAAATAGATTTTAATTCAAATTATTTGTTTAGATTATTTTAGTTTTAATATTTTGTTAAGGTTCTAGTTTTTTAAAGTTCTTTTGAATTTTTCTTTGCTCTATATAAAGGAGCATATTCATTCTAATACGTAGACTTTGACATTGAATAAAACTTGGTATTTTCTCCCTTTGAATTCTTTTCACCTTCTCTTTCTTTTCTCACTTTTTTCTCGTTCATGTGTACAGTACGTCAAATGCGTGGTAGACTTGTGTACCATTAAATTATATTTCCCCTTGTGATTCTCACACTTGTAGAAGGTATCTCTATAGTGTGGGCTTTGTGTATGAAGTTCTTATTTGATTTTTAAACATGACTTGTAGAGACATCACGATTGAGCATGCCTAACAAAGATCTGCAGAGTTTGACTGTAGAGAAACTTCGTGCGCTTTTGAAGGAGAAAGGTCTTATACTGAAGGGAAAAAAGGCATGTATTGTCTCTTGTAGCCAAAGTATTACATTTCTCTAGGATCGAGTTTCCTTGTTTGGGGTGGGGGTGGGGTGAAATTCAAAAAATTAAAAAATTATTAGATTTTAGTCAACACAACATACAAAATTACTTTTTCTTACTATTATTGTGTTATAGTGTCTAATCCACCTTACCCATGATGCCATTAATGATTTTGTTTAATCATTTGATGAGAAAGCATAGGTCGATTCTAAAGTTTCACCATTCTATATTCACATCCCTATTCACTCACTCGTGTTTTCATTTCCACGGACAGGACGAGTTGATTGCACGCTTGAGAGGTGCAAATGGCTAGAATGCTCCCAGAAGCTAAGAGGATCTTCAAGACTGTGCAACACGTAATTTTGGAAAAGCAGGTTGTGTAAGTTAGTTGTAGTATGGTTCCGAACTAATTTAAAGTGTTCGATACGCAGCACTGTGTTTTGTATGTTGCATCAATAGATCACTGTATTAAAGTGAATGAGATAAAGGCATGTCTCAATGGTTTTGGTGAAAATGTGAATCTTTTGTTTCACTTTTGCAGTTGGTTATAGAACTGTGTTAGTTTAATTTGTGCTCGTAGTATTATCTTCTGTTTTCTTGTGCGTTAGTTTATTAAATTAGTGCATTGACATATCAGATCTGATGCCAAAACGAGTTGGTTTCACTTGTTTGGTCCTAGTTTGATGACCTGCGCCTAAATTGTTCTTAACATGTTTGGTAAAGTGGATGAGAAAGCATTGGATAGTATTAAAACGAAAATGAGTTATTAAAAAAAAAAAAAAAGGATATTCATTGTACTTTTTTCTAATATGATGCATCAAACATCTCTTTGCATTTAGTGGCTGCCCAACTTTGGCTTAATTTTAATCATATAGTTCATGGATTTACAATTTTTCAATTACATTTTATTAACTTTTATCAAAATTTAGAAATTTTTGATTTTAATCACCATCAAACACGGACTATAAAATCTAATAAGGTCAACACTTTTAAAAAAGAGCAATTTTATTTTATATAGAGTCACTGTAAAGTAGTTCAATTTTTCGTTAAATCCCTATGGAATACTTGTGAAAAGTTGAACACATCACTTCAAATTTTAAGCACATGTTCAAGATTGGAAACAAAATCAAAAGTTAGACATTTGAGGGTCGCATAATTATCTAATATCGATATTTGAATACTTAGTAGTAATTTGTAACGAATTATGTAACTATAATGAAATGTTGAGGATTAATTTACTTATTTTTAGAACACAATCAACTATGTCCACCAAAATTTTATTTGTAGGATAGTTAAGGAGATAACCAAACTGAGACAACACACTTCAACTCGATTGAGATGGAGTCAAGTTTGTGGATGAGGTTGAAAATGATATGTCAAAATATGATGGAAAGTGAATTCTAACTTTTAAAGTTGGACATTTAAGGGCAACCTAACGATTTAATAGAGATATTTGGATATTAGTAGTGGTTGCACTTGCAATTGATTTTGTTCTGGATTAATTTACTTATTTTAAAACAAGTTAAGGACCCATTTTCTATTTGGACAACAATTGAGAACCAGTGATGCAATTTTCTCCAAAATTTTTTTTTTTTTTTTTTTTTTTTTGGGGCATGAAACTATTTCCACAAAAAATTTAGTGATTGAACGACTAAGGAGACAATCAAGTAGGGACAACGAATTTAGAACTCAATTAAGATGGAGTCAAGTTTGTGGATGAGGTTGAAAATACTATATTTTGGTTTGTAGACGAGATTGAAAATGATATGTCAAAACACGTTTTATTATTAGATCTTTCATGATGAAAAATAACTTAATGGTAGTTGACACTAAACTTGTGGTTAAAAAAATGATGACCAATTAATGCAGTGCAAGGAAGTGGAATTAGATGAGATTAGAGGGGTGTTTGTTTCCCATTTTTGAAAAATTAAGAATGAAAAATATAGTCATTATGGACTCCACACAAAATATAGAAATTCAAATTTGATGGTTTGATATGATGAATAACGATCATATTTTTCATTTTAATGGGAAAAGAATGAAAAACAAACATAGGCTATATTCAAAGGGGCTAGACCCAAATCTCACCAAAATGTCCAATTTTGACCTAATTTAGCTAGAAAAGGCCCAAAATCTTCAATTTTTGGACCACAAAATTTGGTTCTTCATTTCTAATTTTTGTTTGGACGGCGCCGAAATTTTCGTGAAAATACGAATTGCTAATCATCGGATGGCCAACAAAAACGATGTTTCTTTAACATCCACCAAAATACGCTAAACATCTACAATGTTTTTAAACGTGAACAAATTATTTTATTTTATTTATTTATTATTTATTTTTTTGGATTGCTGATAATTTTGAGCCCAAATAATTGATCCAAGAATGCATGATTATTGGTGTGACCCGACCCATGTACTCGATCCATTTTGAAGCTTCTTGAGTTCTTGATAAATTGTGTCTGTAATATATGCCTTACTCATTAAGTTGTGGTGAAACTGGATGCTTTTCTTGGTCGTGGGATCCAGGTCTTGATTCTATATCATTTAAATACTTGATTTTTCACTCATTAGGGTAAGAGTCTAAGAGATAAAACCTTAGCAGCTTTTCAAGAGAATTCTTCTCTTCGCCTGTATCCATCTTTTTCATCTTTTCTTTCTGTAATTTTCTTGGTGAAAATTGTAAAGAGTGATGGTTTTTATGTGATATTATGAATAGTAACACCCTCTTAGTGAGTGAGGTTTTCCTGTAAGATTTGTGTTCTATAAATGAGAAATTTTATAACTTGAATTTTTCCCTTGTAATTTGAGATTGTGATAGTAAATTCATGCATAATCCTTAATGGATGATCAACGAGGGACTAAATGTTAAAAGCGGTAACTGAATTTCGTGTTTTGTTGGTAATATCAATGTGGGCAAATGATACTTTAGTCCCTTACCCTAGAAAATAAGATCTCTTATGCTTCAACAGAAGTGAGCAAAAGCCACAGACAAATCTTGGCCTCCAGACTTGGCCCCTTCCACAAGAATTGAACATGACGAAATGGCCTGAAGTACCATATTTATTCATCTTTCTGATGGAGTCATCAAAGAAGTTGGGAGAATTGACGATGCATTCCCAATTTTTTCAAAATACACTTTTTTTCTTTTCTTTTCTTTTCAACCACACATTCCTCAATAAAATAATTACACGCAAATACAAAACTTTTCTTTATTTTTTAACCACACATTCTCCATTAATCTATTATTCTAAAACACATTTTTCCAATTTAATTGGCTCAAACAAGTCTATAAGCGTTTTTTTTTTCCCTGTTGGAGACAACTTTCTAACTTTATGTTTAATCCTAGTGCTGGATTAGAAGATAACATGGACATATTCAATAAAATAACATGAGACCTTATAAATTGCGATGAGAATATCTTTAGTGATTAATAGGCGGTTTACAAAACAAAAAGATATAAAGAATGCTTTAAAGTTATAAATTGTGATGAGAAGATCTCCAGTGATAAATAGCTAGTTGGTTTAGAAAACAAAAATATATAAAGAATGCTTTAAAATATGGGAGAGCTGATTTAACTGTTTAGATTTTTCACAATTCTTTAAAGAAGAGAGGTTTAGAAATTAAAACAGAATAGAAAGAAGTATTAAATGTTGAAATTTAATCATGAAATCAAAAGGTTCTGTAAAATGTATGAATAATTAAAATTATAATAATAGTAATCCCAATAAAGATAAGAGATAATAAAAAGAAATGGGCATATGGCAAGGGAAAAGATAAGAAATTAAATTAATAAGAAAAATGCAAAGAAGAAGATATGCTGGCAATGTAGAAAATTAGGTCTCCCGATTAAACATCGTTTTAAAAGGATGTCTGATGAAACAAATAATTCTCAAAATAAAAATGAATCTTCTGTTGTTAAAAGGTTGAACCCCAACCTTAAGGATCCCCCGCCGCCCCTGCCCTAGAGTATCGTGAGGGAGGTAAATTGCAGGTTATGCCTCCAAGGGTATAGGGTGGAAGGCTATTTGTACACTTGTGCTTATTCAAGAGCCAAATCTATATTTCAGGATTCGAACCCTTGACGCAGCAGCCTCAAGTAAAGTTGGATTTCTTCACCCTCCCCTTTTACCACTTGGAGATGTGCCTTGGGGGCAAAATGAATCTTCTGTTGTTGCTTATATAGAAGAAGGACTAAACATGGGAGTGGTATGTGTATCTACTATCGAAGACAAGAATCAAGAATGTATTCTTGGTTCTGGTCGCTCCTTTCATATGAGTTCTCATAACGGCTGCTTTACTGCTTTTTTTCGGTTTAAATGAAGAACTTGTAAAATCAGGGAATAATGATTGTAGGGATGATTTTCAGCAAACTCCAAGTACAAAATCGGGCTCAGTTTACCAATTTCATCGACACCACCAAGGTTGAGACAACTCCAAAACCACTACCAAAACCGCCCCACTTCCGATTGCTATAGGTTGGGAAGATGAAATCCAATGATATGCCCACTAAGGATTAACCACAAAGGTCACAGTGAAGCGAACCAAGAAGCCAAGAAAAGAGTCTCACAAAGAGAGAAAATGGGCACGCCTTTGGAGGCCGAGAGGGAGACGGGATTATATGCCAAGTAAATGTCCAAAATAGGTAAGTTAGGTTGGGGTTAAATTGTGGACCAAAACAAGGCTCGACTCAATTTAAGTGGGCTTCAAATTAATAATATAGCCTTCCAAGGAAATGGGGCGAACCGTGAGCAACACTATTTACAATAGGTTGCTTCGAACGGTCTATACGAATGTAGATTGTGTTGTCTCGATAATTGTGTCGATATACTAGTCAATCATATGGCCAAGGTCGATTGATAATAAAACCAAGGTTACATCATAGCCCGGGGAGGTCGTTTGACAACAAATTGCCTAACAACCTTCACTTTGATGTCAAAGGACCTGTAAAAGAAAATTGTCTCCCATTAGTGACACCTCTAATAGAAAACCAATAAAATTGGAAATCATTTACCTGTACCAATGTTTAGAAGTTCCTTGCAACTTCTAAACTTTGCCAGTGGCAATACCTTCGTTCCCATATCAAATGGGTTGTAGTGGGTGTGGACTTTCTCAAGTCTTACCACCTCTTGAGATACTATATCTCTAATGAAGTGGAGTCTAACATCAATGTGTTTAGTGCGCTCATGAAAAACAGGGTTCTTGCATAAATGTATAGATGACTGACTATCAGAATACACTACCACATAATCATTCAAGACACATAGTTCATGAAATGCACCTCTAAGCCATAGAGTTTCTTTAATAGTTTCAATGGTAGCAATATATTCTGATTCTATAGTGGATAGTGCAACAATATGTTGTAACTGTGATTTTCAACTAACACATGAATTAGATAAGGTAAACACGTAAGATGAAGTAGATTTCCTACCATCCCTATCTCCTGCGTAATCTGCATCTACAAAACCCTTTAATTTTATGCCTTCTTTATTAGCACTAAATTTTAAACCTACGTTACTTGTACCCTTCAAGTACTTTAACATCCACTTTAGCGCTTCCCAATGTTCATG